GGCTACAGAGCTCTGTAGGGGTTCCGCTTGGGGTAGCATCTTGGGCCCAAAGGAGTGCAGGCCAGCCAGCCAACCAGTATTGGTTCCAACTGCAGCGTCAGGTTTCTTCCCAGGTTCAAGTCCCAGCTCCGCCTCTGATTAGTTCTGGGTCTTGACTTTCCTCGTCTGACAGACTGGAGGCAGTCATAGCATCTGTTTCACAGGGCCGTTCTGAGGGTAAAATGAGCTCATGAAGGCGCAGACAGGCCCCGGCCCACGGCGTATCATCGCCATCCTTTGTAACACTGCAGGGACAGCACCTCTAAGGCAGGAGTTGGTGGGGGGCCATCTCCAGCCATGAACCTCTCAGCACCTAGCTCAGGGCTTGGCCCTCAGTGGGCGCTCAAAGCTCGTCCACAAATGGGATGGATGAGTGGGTTAAGCAAAGTGGTGCTGGGTAACTAGCGAAGGCCCTTGAGCCAGGAGGCCTGTTCTGTAGGCCCTTCTCGGGTTCTAGGTTCAGGAGGGCCTTCCAGGGGGTCATCTCCCCTCTCTTGCTCCCTCACCTGTGAAAACAGAGGAGCCGAATGGCCCTTCCACAAGGCTCTTCCCACCACGAGGGGACTATGGTTCTAGGAATCCCAGCAGGGGCGGAGTCCTAACCACACCCAGCACGTCCTCAGGACTGCTTGTTGGGTTTTACGTGGATTGCTTCGTTGCAGCCTGACCCAAAAAGCTCAGCAGAGTGGATTCTCTGACAGTACTTTTTGGGTCGGGGGGTGTGGAGAGAGGGGAATGGGGAGGCCACTTCCTGTTCCAGAAGAGTCTCGGGGAGGCTGACTAGGATGAGCCCCTTGACTGTTCTTTGGGGGCGGTGAGAGCCTCCTTTCAGAGGCAAACCGTTTGTGCCGCTGACCGGGCCACCTTTCACCCCCTTGCTCAAGTAGCAGCCCATTTGGCAAGGGTCGGGGATAAAGGGCTCATTCTTCGTTATCCAAGAGTCGGAAGGAAAGTCAGTCCTTGGTGTGGGTGTCGTTTCCTCAAAATAGAATGTCCTAATATGGTTCAGAGAGGCCCGGAGTCGCTCACAGCCGAGATGGACGTAGGCTACTGTCACATGAAGAAAGCTTTGTCTGCACTCACCCCATCTCTCTCTCTCTCTC